GGGAACTCTCTCAGAGTCACCTGGATGTAGATAGAAGTATGTGACTCATATGATTTCATGGACAAAACAAAAGGGCAGAAACAAAAGGGAGATGCATAGGGCAGAAACAAAAGGGAGAGATATCTCTGCATTTCATTCGATGGAAGGCAATTCAGACATGAGTGCCCATCTATAATCTTGTAGCCCAATGGAAAGACTTACTTGGTTGCCTAGATGGCCAGCAAACATCATCTGAAACACCAGAAGTGATGCTCAGCTCCATAAGAAAGTAGTCTAAAGCAATTTCATAGAAGAAACACTGTGCCTCAGGTAACTTTCCAGTTTCCACTTGTGATCCCTCATACCCAAGAAACACAGGTTTTGGAAGTATGCAGACAAGGTTTAAGTGTTACTACTGATGTTTGCCATCACACGTACTCATAGACTAACTAGTTCCTGCGTCTATACTACAGGGAGCATACCCAGTTGATGTGGTGGCTCATACCAATAGTCCTCATACTTAACAAGTGAAAACAGGAGTTGCAGGTCAGTCTGACTGTCCTAGTTTTCTCTTTGTTGATGTCATAGAACACTGAAGAAAACTACCTTGGAGGAGGAAAGGGTTATTTAATCTTGTTCTTCCAGATAACAATCAATTAATGCAGGAGGTCCCGCCCAACCCTTGGGACAGCAGCCTAGAGCAAGAAGTCCAGGGAGGAGAATGGGGACAAGAGACGTGACAGAATGACGACAAGACAGGATTCTGATCAAGTGGCAAATTTTAATTTTTTCCAGGCTAGCTTATATAGTCAGTAGTATAGGGTAAAGGGGAGGGGGAGAAGAGGCCAAGAGCCAGGTGTTAGTTTAAGCAGGACGTTAGAAAACTATAGAAGGAGGATATTGGCAGGGTAAAAAGTTCATGGGTGGTGGGGAGGGGGAGGGTTACCTAGGTGAATGGTGGGAAGCAGGAATGTTGTTTGGGTAAGTGGTGGGATGCAGGAGGGAGGGTTGCTTAGGTAAGGAGGCCTGTGGTTGGAACAAAGGATTGACATCTGGATCATGTTGTTCCTTCTGAGTGCTCATGCTTCTAGAAGCCATTTATAATCAAAGGGCAGTTCTATAACCCTGTGGCTTGGCAAGTTTGGCCTAAAGATTCAGACCAAGCTGTATGGCTTCCAACAACTACCCACAGTAGACTGAGCCTTCTCACATCAGTCAACTATCAAGCAAATCTCATACAGACTTGCTCACAAGTCCATCTGATGGAGGCAGTGTCTAGGTATGTCTAGGTATATATCAAGATAAAACCAGGATGAGATTCTATGCCTTGACAATTTGACACACAAACACATTCCTTTAAACCACATCAGGAGGCAGAGAGCACACTTGGGATGGAGTAAGGCTTTTGAAAATTCAAAGGCCATCCCCAGTGACACACTTCCTCCTATAAGGCCACACCTCCTCATCTTCTTCAAACCATTCTACCTGTAAGAATCAATCATTCAAACATAAGAGCTTATGGGGGCACATTCTCAACCAGACCACCAAGCTGTACTTATTATTAGCTGAGACATGGGCTCAAGACAGTGGCAAAGATGCAAGAAAACAGGGTGAACAGCACAAATTCATATGAGCTTTTATTTGTGTCCCACAGCTAGTGTTCTGTGAGATAAACCAAGGCACATGGCCAGCCCAACATTCGTATACCTCACTCTAGCAGGAGAAATCATCAAGTCACAGAGCCAAAGACTCAAAGGCAATAAATAATTGTAATTAGCAAATAAAATAATTAGTAATAATGATGTAATTTCCCATAACACAATACCTCACATAGGCTACATGGGCAAGAAATGGTGCTTACAAACATTTCCCTCTTCTTGAAAGACTTTACTTATCTTTATCTAAGATTTTTTTCTATTCATAGCTGCAATGCGGAGCACACATATATCTTTAATAATTACAGTAATACTTTTAATAAGAAAATGAGGACACGTGAGATGGTTCACTGGGTAAAGGTACTTGCTGCCAAGTCTGGTGACCTGAGTTTGATACTCATGATTTACATGACAGCAGGAGAGAACTGATTTTCTGATCTCTATATATGGCACTATGGCACACATGAACACACACACACACACACACACACACACACACACAATAGATAAATATTAGAAAGAAAATGCTCTAAAGAGCTTCATATACCAGGCAAGCTGCTGAGTTCACTGCCTGTTATTTATGTTAGTTCACTTCTCTTTGGGGGAGTCACACTCAATTAGGAATGTACAACGTCTACCAGTAATTTGCATCAAAGTCTTCAGTGTGCCCCACTGGCCTATGATGGATCTCATCTGCTGCTATTTTGCTCAATTAACTGCATTGTTCCACAATCACCCGATCTATACAGTATGATCTAGGAGTCTCAAAAGATCCTTCCTCATCTTTGCCCTGCCTACATAATTTATCATGTGGCACATTAATGGGCATGCCTTTCAGCATTGCTTGTCAGGGAGTTCTTAGAAAACATGAGCCTCTCAAGGCCCCCTGTTGAAGGTGAGATTGTAGCACAATTAGTTTCTTTTCATGCTGTGACTTGCCTTTTTTCTCTTCTTGCTTTATTAAACTCTCAACTCATTTTAATCCATATGATTGTTCATGCTATCACAATGGTTCCAGTTTCTTTGTGTTCTTGTTGATGGACTATATGAAGATCATATAATGATCAAACAGTTAATACCTCAAGGCAATGTGAAAATCACTCATAGATAATTGAAGGGCTTGAATGGAATTTTAATCCTTAGGAGTCGATATCTACCATTAGAATGTGTGCTTAACGATTAAGATGTGTCTTATTACAAAGAAGATCATTGGCATCACTTCTTGCCTTTTCTGGGATGTGGTAGGCAGTGGGCAGACATGTTCAGACAATACATTTCCCTGTTACCACAGCCTTACCTCATTGCTACTATTCCATTCACCTCACAGGTGAAGAAACCTGAGAACAATGAGAACAGAAGACATGACTAGGGTTGTTCCCAGAGACAACCCAGACCTCAGAGCTGTGAGTCCAACACGGTCTGATTCCAGCACCCTCTTTCCACTAGACTTCACTTCATAGCTATTGTTCATTCTTTTTAATCCTGTGACTCAATGGCAAGAAAAACTCCTCAATATTCTATGATGATATTAAACATTATTATATTAAAAACGGACAATAAAGTGACTTCTTTCAAACTATACTTTCTTTTGGTAAATGAAAAACATATTCTTTAATATTGAAATACCATCTCCCATTTTAAGACTCAGACCTTTACAATGTTCAAGTCAGTCTATAGCACCCCTTTTCCCAGGATATTCTTCTCTCTCTCTCTCTCTCTCTCTCTCTCTCACTCGCTCTCTCTCTCTCTGTCTCTCTCTCCAATAAAGTATCCCCACACATCTTCATAGGTGAAAGAGTTTTGCATATTTTCTCACAAATCCTTTACATGGCTACTTTGGTCTTTAGGCTGAAATTTTCATAAAATGAATATTACTTTTCTTAGGGAACAAACATTCCTGGAAGCTTTCATATCTACTCCTCTATACCAGTGTGGATGGTAGGCTAGTTAGAAGCCACTACTGAAAGACAAGCTCCCGGGACCTGGACAATCTCATCTGCCTGTCACACTTAAAGACCTAGTACAGACACCGAAGGTCCTGGGCATGCAACTGAGTATTATTAGATAGATAACAAATGACAAGTGACAGCTGAATGCTTTAGAGAGAATGGAGAAACCTTCGAGTATTTCTCCTAAATCCAGGACAGTATCATTTACCATACATACATCAGAGCTGCCCTCATTCCATAAACGATGTGAATTTCACATTAAATGAGCCTACCTCACTGCCACAGTGCTTAAATCCTGATTCTGGGATGGAATGGCTCTAAGAATGCTGGCATCAGAAATTGCAGTTGGTATTTCAGGTTGATCAGTAGCTAGCTTATACCTCCTTCTGACCACTCTGTGTTCCTTCGGTATCATCTATTAGAGAAGGTTACCGACATCCTTATGAATGAACTTTTGTCTAGTTCATTCTAAGTCAGAGATTGCTTGAGGGTTGCCTATATCATTATGGATAATTTTACAGCTTTCTTGTGTAAATGAGATGTTATTTTTTTCATAAGCATGTTTTATACCCTTTGGGATTTTTAGAAGCATCTTGAAAAAGAATACTTATTTGAAGATTCTAGAAGACAATGTAAAAATTAATGTGAAGCTCCACATTTTCTGTCCCGAATGCCTATTCTAACTTTATAGAAGTTCACCGTGGTATAAATTTTGAATCTGGTTATTTTGGTGTGTAATGTTTTTATTTGCAAGGGTTTTGATGGCCTTTGTCCTTCTGCATATGTGTTTCTCTTATCGGTTGATGAATAAAACATTGATTGGCCAGTAGCCAGGCAGGAAGGATAGGCAGGGCTATGAGATGAGGAAAATTCTGGTGAGAGGAAGGCAGAGAGGAGCATCCAGGGAGACACCATGCTGCCCAAGGAGTAACATGCCAGGTTACAGTAAGCAATAGCCTCGTGACGATACATAGTTTAATAAAAAAATTGGGTTAATAATTAAGAGAGAGCTAGCCAGTAAGAAGCCAAAGCTATTGGCCAAACAGTTTATATTTAATAAAAGTTTCTGTGTGTTTATTTGGGGCTAAATGACTGTGGGACCAGGCAGAACAGAAACTCCATCTACAATTCTTTTAATAAGAAAGTTTATAAGATCAAAAAAATCAGCAACTATTTTTCCACTGCATATTTCTTAGTAAATAAGCTTATAATGCCCAGAGGTGTGGAAAGTCTAGCTTGATTTGCTATTCTGTTAAGTCTAAAATGTATAAACACTTTGTGTATTCCTCCCATATAAGCCCATTGTCTATGAATCCTAAACTCTGCCCTCCTGTGAATGCTGCCCTTTTGGTAGACTCCAAAGACAATTAAATCACAGCTAATGAGTGATGCAACATGAATCACAGCCATACATTACCCAGCTCTGCTAATTTTCAGTCAGGGAAGGATGTATCTTCATGAAATTTATAGAAGCTCTATTATAACAAAAAAAAGACAAAGGAATGAAGCAGTCAGAGAGGACAGACTGTTGGAGCAGCTGAAATTTTCCATTTTAGGTAAAGCATCATTTGTTTATATAATTATATATATATACATACATACATATACATACATATATATCACCTATAAATCATTCTGCCCGACATATTGTGTCTAAAACCTGCCTTGTAGGATTTTCAGCATGCCTGAATATGCCAAAGACTACACTGATATAAATTACTGACATAAGCTACGCTGTAACAATGGAGAGCCCTGCCACCAACGGCAGTTTCCACCAGAGAACTGCTCTATCCCTCCTGCATTGCATTAATTTGTCTTACAGGAAATAAGCATGCAAAGGGGAGAGCTGAAATACCACAGAGTTCCTAAAAGCAAGCTTCCAGCTTCCAATATTTATCATTTGGGGGGACTATGGCTCACATACAAAATGCAGGCAAAATCAAAACAGGTAATATTGGTGTATATCTAACAGGACTAAAGTGTATTTTTTTTCTCTGTCTCATTTCAAAATGGTTTCCTCAAGGAAACTTGGCATGTACCCTGTGAGGAGTACTGTCTGTAGACAACCCCTGAGAGATGAGCTGACTCAGGAAAGGTTCCCTGGTTTGAATGCCACAGCCTCCACAGAACAAGCTTGCTGTTTTTCTTGGTATTTTACCAGAGGCCTTTCCACTGCTAACATAGAATCTAGAGCAAGGAGTCCCCAGAGCATAGCCTAAGCACCTTCCGTGGGCCATAGGCTCTCAGTGAGAATACAACATACTGTCACCTTTCATGGCTCGGGAAATAAGGCACAGGAAAATTAAATAATGGCCCCAAACCTAACAACCAGCAGATAGCAGATCTTAAAATTCTCTGTATTTGGAAACAACCAGCAAATGTCCAGACTCCTTTTCACTTTACAAAGGGAGAATGGAATACAAATTCTTAAATAGAACCTTTGTATTATTCCATAAAGATGAACACCTACTACTTACATGACTTTGTAAGCATTCTTTAATATTAAAAACTACACACAACTGTTTTTTCTCTATAACTAAGGCTAAGAAGCCCACAGTTCCTTAAATACATTGAACATTTATAAAGATGAAAAAGTTAGCTATCCATAAAGTATAACAGGGAATTTTTTTTACATAATTAGCATGCTCCTGAACCCACCATCACATGTTTTACAACAGCTTTCTAGAAAACATAATCATCACCTCTCAAGATGAGTTAGAGTTTCCAAAGATGGCCATTTCTAACATGTGGTGATATATATTATTTATGATTTATTAAAGCTTGCCTGAGACTTCAGAAAGCAGAGTCAGCCACAAGCCATAGAAGTCAGGTACACACCTTTAATCCCAGGAGACAGGATTAAGAGGTAGATGGCTCTATGTTAGTTCAAGGCCACCATGGCCTACACATGAGTGAATAGTAACAGAGCTCATGACTTTAATCCCAGTACCTGTGATCACACATCTTTAATCCCAGAATTATGGAGATATTTAAGACAGGAACAGGGTTTCAGAGCTACTATTCATTCTCCAGTCACATTGAGGATAGGAAGACATTGAAGTCTCAGGATTCTCCAGCCATGCTGAGGAGAGGCAGTAGTCTGTGGTTTCGTGAAGCCAGGATTGCCTTTCAGTCTGAGGTAGAGTAAGAGCTAGTAGCCAGCTACTTTGCTTTTCTGGTCTTCAGCTTGAAGTTTGAATCCCAATATCTATCTCTGTCTGGGTCTTTTCAATTATCGTGTTACATTTGTGTGTGTGTGTGTGTGTGTGTGTGTGTGTGTGTGTGTGTTACACTGACTGGTTTACATCTACAGTCTGTCTCTGTTCACAGCTGAGTGGCTCTTCATTTGCTAATGTTGTTGGCTGTTCCCTGACCCCCATTAGTTTTCCTCAAAGTTAAGACATATTCCAGAGCCACAATCAAGTGAGTTTCTCCTTTATCCCTACTACACACACCCATTGCAGTATTGCACACTTTGTGAATGGGTACACATATAGCTGCTCCCTTGCTTTATATATTAGAAAAGACATAACAGCATGTCTTTCCTTCCTAAAGCCTGGTGACCTAGCAAGCCCAGGCAAGAAGAATTTAGTAATTTGTTCTGGGATTCTATAAGCTTTGAATTTCCCACAGTTTATTTCCCTAAAATCTTGTAAAATGTCACAATCACACATGCAAAAATATATACTGCCCATGTGTTCAAACATGAGCAGACAGTAATTAGACTCTGCATTTGATAATGAAATTAGCCTCGGGGGTTTCATGTTTACTCAACTCAGTCAACATGCCCTTACTTGGCTCACATATAAATTTCCTTGGTACTTAAATAACTATTTGCTGCCAAAAGAAAGAGATCCATGTGTTTCAAACAAAACAGCGCTAAGACCTACACTAAATCCACCCTGTGTTATGCCTCAGAGTGTTCTATACTGGGGACCATATTATGGTCTCCTTAGGTCCATATTTACTTCTCTACCACCTGGCTAACAAACCTTTGTTCCAGCTGCATGTGAGAAGGGGTGTCTTTCACTACCTCACCATCCCACAGACCACACAGCTTCAGACTCCCCACACCCATGCCAGCTCATCTGCTGCTCTTCTCTCCCAATAAAAGCTCACTCTGACAACTTGCCAACAAAACCAGTCCTGTGCTTGTACAGGATGAAATCCAAATTAGAAACGAGATTCCTAACTTGGTCTCCAGCTTCTTACCTGAGAACCCTGTGACTTGAGAGTATCTACCATCTCTCTGACACACATTGATGAGGACATGAAAGAAAAGTCTACATAGAGGCTGCGCAAGAGGATTGCAAAACATGTTCTTGTGATTATTACCAAGTTCATTTGGGGACAATCAGCCACTCCACCCTACATGTAAAACCAGGTTGGGTAGGTGCCTGTCAGTGTTTCTTAAAACCTGTAGAATTCATTCACTAGGAACCCTGTGGCCAAGCACTACTGATAGGACCGAGGCTTACACAACAGAAATATGTTGTCTCCTATATCTGAAGGTGGGGCTTGCAAATCCAAGGCTGATTGGACCCATTGGTTATTCTGAGGCTTGAGAGGCTGGAGGATGATGTCCAGGCCTCCCTCCTTGGCTGGTGGATGACTGTATTTCCTCCCTGTCTCTTCATTAACATTTTACTCCCTATGTGTGGATATGTCCAGCTCTGCTGTTTGTTTATGAAGAAGAAAGTCAAAGTTCACACTCATGGCCTCATTTTAAGTTGATTACTTCCACAAGGCTTGTGTCTTCCAGTTTGGAGCTCCCAGCATGCTTCCTCCTAACTGCAGTCACTGGGCTGGGACTGGGCTCCCCCATTCTGAAGTGTCCCAAGTGATACTATATACTTGACTGGTCAATGACCTACTGCGCAAGGACTGGCATCTACCTCACTCAAAGGAGTGTGAGAAAAGCCAAAAGATGCTAACTTCCAGGGCCCATACTGAGCATAAAGTCCTACTACAAAGTTCCCCCTGCTCCTCACCCATGTTCACCCCCAAAGGTCATGGGCAAGGTAAACCTGCGCCTCACACTTTTGAGTAGACCAGGTTGGGGAAACCCTCCCTACCCACTCAGGTATACCAGACCTTTCCAGAAACTGCAGGAGTTGTGAGTGGGCCTAGAGTGGGAAATTACCAATACGGAGTCAGGTAGAAATATCAGGGTATTTAATAGGGAAAAGCCTTACTTACAGAGCCACTTAGCCAGCCAGTAAACAGCAGTCTGTACAGCAAGAAGCAAAGTGAAACCGAAAGTGCAAACGCAGTCACACTACCACTACGTCACTCTGACCACTCCCTCACAAGCATGGTCAGGCACACCTGTAGCCAGCCCCTAAGAAGGCGTGGCTACAGCTTCCCCTACATGGGCCCATTTCTCCCAATAAGCCCTAATTCTTGGCAAGGGGAGATTCTGTCTTCTATATTGCCACCTGAGGTAGTAGAGGTCAGGGCTACCACACATGACTAATTTCAATCCAAATTAAATTGTGACTAAGTGTCACGTGCAATTTTGAGAAAACTGCTATGTTTATGAACTAAGCTAATATATTTCACCAAATGTTACTAGGAGCCTAGTGCAGACACAGCAGAGTCAGTATAATCTGATTGAGTCACTGTATATTCAAGTGCATGAGTGCACACACACACACACACACACACACACACACACACACACACTATAAATTACAAAAGGCAAGATAAAAATGTAAATTGAGTTGCTCCATTCCTTTTGATTCTCCTGAAGAATTTCCAATGCAACCAAATCTGACTTATTTTTAAGCAACAATTTCAGCCACAACTAAATTAATAGCTGAGAACAAATAGAAAACCTACCTGCGGATTGCTTTTAGACACAGCAGACAAGTGCTCAGGGCTCACTGTTCAATGGCCTATCAACAGGACATTTTTGTTTGGCTGTTTTGCTGTGGGTGGTGGGTGCTGTACTTGTGTGGAAGTTAATGCAATATTGCGCTGCCATACAGGTTTGGCTTAGTTTCCACAACAATGAGACAAGTATTTTACATTTACAGAGAAGGACACTGAAGCTGAAGGCCCACCTCTGACCTGACAAAGCTCACACCACTCTGGGCAGTGAAGACAGGGCTTTATCTTAGCTTCTTTCAGTATCTACTCACTGAACTGCCTCTTGTGAAATAGAGGGAAGTTGGGAGAACCTCCGTGGACAAGTTTGCTTTATGTGTTGTTGATCAGCCAACATGCACCTAAGTTAGGCCACTGTCTCAAAAAACATGTTTTGTGGCCTCAGGTCATACCAGTAAAAGGCTGTAGATACATCACTAAAAACAACTCAAAATGATTGCTCGCCCAATTTTGATTGGGTCAGGAACTAGCCATCTAGCTTCTTCGTTGGAAAAAGAAAAAGAAAGTACTTATAAATTATACTTATAGACATATCAGACAAGAACCCTGTTTCCATGTTCCATGCATTTCTATCACAGGTTCTCCTATAGACCATGATAAGTACCAGAGCTGGTGATGTGGAGAAGGATAAAAATACCTACTATAGAGCATTGGATGGTTGAGCTTTGATACCATGGCTGTTATAAGAGAGCAGCCATGCTCTTAGACAGAAGCACCTGATATGGCAGATTGTGTCCCCAGATAGCAGTAATAGCCCCTTACTCCCTCCCCCATTCTCTTCCACCAATGCCCTCTTGATTTATTTAAAGCAGCCTCTGTGGTAGGAAGGTGGTTCAGCAACTAACTGTGTACTGATCTTGTAGAGGACTTGAGTTTGATTCCAGTGACCATATCAGACAGCTGACAACCACCTATAACTTCAGCGCCAAGGAATCCAATAATCTTTGCAGGTATCTGAACCCATATGTATACACACACACACGCACACACACACACACACACAGAGAGAGAGAGAGAGAGAGAGAGAGAGAGAGAGAGAGATTCTATAAGATAAAGTTCCTCAGCTAGAGAGGTGGCTCAGTGGTGGCTTGCTACACAAGCAAAAGGACCTAAGTTTGGGTCCCCAGCACCCATGTAAAATATGGCTGGTAGTATGTGCCTACACCCCTGTCACTCTGGGAGGGATGAAAAAGAGCATCTCTGGACATGTTGGCTTGATGCTGTAGTGAAAATGGTGAGCTTTATGTTCTGTGAGAAAAGAATTTCTCAAACAATAATGTAGAGTGACAGAGGAAAATACTTCTAGCTTCCACATGTATGCATGCAGATGAGCATACCTACATATACACACACACATTCAACACACACATACCAGAGAGAGAGAGAGAGAGAGAGAGAGAGAGAGAGAGAGAGATTAAAGTCTTTAAATTTTTCAAAGTCTTTAAAAAGAAACAAGATGGAGAAGAGGGAGTCTATTTCCTTTCCACTTGAAATTGGCCTGACTCTGTGACCTCATTGACTTTAATACTCTTTGAATTTTAGATCTAGATCTTGAAAGGACTCAAAATTTGACTGCTGGTCTCTTGAAAGTCAAAGATTGTGTAGAATCATAATTAGAGCACATAATGGGGAATGATCACATGTATAGAGAAAGCCCCCAGTCTTCCAGATAACCATCAAGTTCCCCATCCCCCGTTCCAGCACAGGTTATGGGTGAGGCCACCTTGAACTTCCTCATCTAATCACTTAATAGATGAATTCAGATCCTTGAATGATTCCTGACTACAGCCAAAAAGCCTGTGTTCCTACTTACAGACAACCATAAAACAAGGCAGCTTATGGAAGGCAGTAACATAAGATCATCAAACTGTAGTCCAGCATTGATGTCAACAACAGAGAATTATAGCTTTAAAGAAACATTCAAAATATTGTCAATCAAAAATAAACAACCTAATTAATATATAGGCAAATGACTTGAATAAGTATCTCTCAAAAAAAGATACATGGATGTCAATAAGCCCATGAATTAATACTTAACATCACTAATAACTGAGGAAATAAAAATCAAAACCACAGTGAAATAGCATCTCTTGCCCACTAGGATGGTTGCTATCAAAATAAATAATAAAAAAACAATAATTAATAAGTACATACTGCTTAGTTTCAACTGCCAAGCTATCAATACTTAGAATCATCTCAAACAAGAGATTGTCTAGATCAAATTGGTCTGTAGACATGTCTGCTGGGGATTGTCTTGATTATTCACTGAAGTAAAAGGAAGACATATTCTGAATGTGGGCAAAGCTATTTATTTCATGGGCTGGACCCTGAACTATTTAAGAGTAAAGGAATCTAGCTGTGCATACATATTCAGCAAGCAAGCAAAGATGATTATACTGTTTTTACTTTGGACTCTCTGTGATGTTGATGAGTTCCCATTTTAATAAGCCCTTTCTCTCTTTAGCTGATTTTGGTCACATTATTTTGTCACAACAGAAATGAAGCTGAGACAGGAAGTTTCTATGCAGAAGTATGGCAATTCTTCAAAAACTGACATGGGGAAGACAAGAGAAGGTAATGTAGTAAATGGGATCCCAATGTGCTGTACACCAGTATGAAATTATCACAATATTTCAACAAATTAAAAAATAAAATAAAGCCTGGCGTTGGTGGCTCACGCCTTTACCCCAGCACTGGGGAGGCAGAGGCAGGCGGATCTCTGTGAGTTTGAGGCCAGCCTGGTCTCCAGAGCGAGTGCCAGGATAGGCTCCAAATCTACATAGAGAAACCCTGTCTCCAAATACCAGTAAATAAATAAATAAATAAATAAATAAATAAATAAATGAAATAAAATTAACACAGAATTATCACTGTGTATATCAATTTCTTTAGATATCCACTCCAAAAATAATTAAAGTGGAAACTTGAAGAGGTGTTTATAGACCAGTACTCATAACAGTTTTATTCTCACTAGATATGAGACACAATTAACCCAGATATTGATCCAAGGAAGGACAAAATATACAAGACATATGCAAACAATAGAATACTATCCAGCTTTAGATACCAACCATGGGGCAATTCACAGAAACTGAGAAGGGTGGTGATCACAGGAGGCCGGGCAAGAAGAACAAGCAGATGTTGTTAAATGACTATGGAATTCCCATTGCCGAATCAATTCTAGAGATAGCATGGTGGTTTGCATGAGAATGCTCCCTACAGGCTCATGTTTTTGAACACTTGGTCCCCAGATGATGGGTGCTGTTGGGAAAGGCAATGCAGTCCTGTTGGAGGAAGCTCATAACTGATGGCAGGTTATGAGACTATATAACCTTGTCACACTCCCAGTTCATTCCCTGCTTTCTGTTTGTGATTGAAGATGTGTTCTGTGAGCTTTAGGCCTGGCTGTCCATTGCCATGTCTCCCTGCCACTATAGACTCTCCTTCTGGAACCATAAGCTAAAATAAACACTTTCTTCTATAAGTCATATTTGGTCATGATTAATGTTTTATCACAGCAACAGAAGAGTAACTAATACAGATGAATAGTTGTGACAGTTACAAAACAATTTATAATAATCCATTATGTAAGCATAGTTAATAGCATTGAACTCTGTACTCTTCACCTAAAACAATTATGTAACATTAATGCTATGTATATTATATTTTTATATAATAAAATATTGGAATCAAGGAGTAAGATTCATAGCCTGGCAGTATAACAGATATTTAGCACACCAGGGGCCATGGGTTCAAGCCCCAGCACCAAACACCAAAGTTTTAAAAAATTCCACTGGTGTTCACTGACATAATCTTGGGAAGTTTTAAAACTCCCAACATCCTGACCCCATCCTGGCCAGGCAAGCCAGCATTTCTAAGGTGGAGTATAGACCTAAAGGTCTTTTAAAATCTTCCCAGGTGATTGGCATATGTAGCCAGGGTTGGGAAATGCTACTTAAATGTCCTGGAATTACTTTATGTGCTTTATCAATTAGCATGCATTCAACACTAAAGCTGATGCCATCAATTAAGACCCAGAGAAGCTCACTGCAATCACAAGATCATATTTACATTCCTGAGGATTTTCAAATCCCTAAAGTCATAATTAGATTGAAGTTCTGTGAAAATGCTGCTGATAGCTGAAGCCCCTCCAGTCATGTGTTTATTCATTCAACTGGGCTTGAAATCATCGTAGGAGTGGAGTTGTATAGAAATTTTCTGTGATCACATGGACCTTGTGTATGTGTAATTAAAGTCACCCTCACACTGTCACTCACAGGTCTGTCTCTAGTTGGGGCTGCAGGAGTTTGATCCTCTGATCACTAAGGAAGGCACCCTACTCCTGCAC